ATTCCTGCCTGTGGCTACAACATAATAAAAGGTTTGTGAAATCATTCTGTGTGAAGTGCTAGGCACTTGATCTATTCAGCTGAGATGTTCCACAGAGTTTCAGTGATTACCTCAGTGCTGAGGGCTTAGGGGTAGTTGAATAATACAGTCACAGAAAAACATCTGCATCCTGGATTTTCTAAGTGTTAAGGCAGACAATGTGCTTCAGTCTGAATTATGGATTAAAAACAACAAAAGTGGACTAAGTGATGACCCTTTGCAAGGCTAGCATCTAGCTGAATACTGATGCATTACTTTTGTCAAAGTGAATTTACTCAGACCCATTTCTTATACTGTATATTATTCTTGTGAAGTAAATCATAATTTCCATGTTCTGCAATAAACACCACTGAAGTCTGTATGCAAAATAATAAACGAAGGGGTTGTTTCTCTCACAGCTTAACTTGTTCCCAAGTGGCTAGCTCAATCACCTGATCCATATGGTACCCTTTGTTTGAAAGGAGTATTTAGCAGAGTTCCAATATTACAAAACTGAGTAAGGGTGAAATGTTAAACTAGAAATACTGTACTAGTATTAAACTAATAAATTGGAAAAAGTTACTAATAGAACATTACTAATACAACCTGTACATGTAACTAACTGCCCCAGTAGAATAAAATTATATGTGTGTGTGTGTAATAGTAATTATTTGCACTCCTACATCAGACTTGATAAATCACTTGTACAAAACTTTCAATATTGCATTACACTCAGCTAAACATGTACTGAAAAGTTCTCTTTATAATTTTTATTAATAATATGGGGATTAATTAGTTAATTTAGCAACTACCTTTAGACAATTTCACATTTTTCTTAAAAGTCTTTTATTCTATCTTTTAAAAAGCTAATGTTGCAGATCTAAATTTAAAATAAAGCAGCATGATGGAGATGATTAAAGTGGATGAAAGCATTGATGTAAATTGCCTTCTAATAGAATTGTGTGAGTTTTGAGTATCAGATATCCAATTACATACAAAATTTCAAAAATTCAGGAAATCAGTTATGAAGCTACTTGATTTCTGCAAATTATAGCTATTCATATGAGTGTGTGTGTGGTGGGGAATAAATGCTACATACTTAAGAAAGCATCTTTTCTTAAAAATCAAAAGTTATAATTTCAATTTTTAAGCCAAAAATATTGTGAAAACCATTTTTATTTGACATAATAGGAAGAAACATTTTATGTTACCTACACTACAATTCTTAATTACTTCATAATTATTATTTAATATTTACTATTTTTTAATAATTCTTTATGCCTTTTAGTAATATTACAGAATATGTCAGTGTAACATAAACATGTTCAGACAAATGTGATGTCCCTGAGATTCATTTGACAGAAAAATTTAAGCCTTCTCCCCTATGCAGACTATATGTATATTTTAATGCACCTGGGAAAGATAAAACAGGGGTGTCAAACTTGCCTCATCACGGCATCGTCATGTGACATATTGCAAGTTTCTGCCCCTTCACTAAACTGGGTTTGGGCATATCCAGTGCATGACATATCCCACTCATGGGCCACGAGTTTGACACCCCTGATCTAAACCAAGCCTAATTAGATTACATTGGGACATTGGGATAACTGTAGACATTATTCAATTAATATTTTCTTTAAAAAGTAATTTCTACATTTGAGGTCTCATAGAAGCTACTAGAATTTTTTATTTAATTAAGCTGCAAGCTGTTGCTTTGTTTGGGACAATTTCTATTTTTAAGGTTTAAAATAAATATATATTTAAACATAGCTGTGTTAGGCAGTGAATTTGTGTGCACTAATGGAAGACACTAAATTTAACAATGCTCATGTCATGTTCTTTTGAAAATTCTGAACTGTTTCCTATTTTGAAATGAAGATATAAGTATGGTTCATATATAAGTATGGTTCATTATATGTTTGGTTATATTGCCATTTACATCTTGCTACTCACAATTTTGTACTTTCTTTTGAACATTTTATATAATTAAAAATCTATAAATGTTTTACTTTTGAATAAACACGTATGTAATTACATTCATTTTGATTAAATGATAAATATTAAGCACAAAAAATTCACAAAAACAGACTTCATGGTAATCCCGCATTTTTAGGATAAGATCAGTGAAATCTTAGAAAATTCGACATCTAGCAAGATTGAGGACATCACAAGTAGTGGGAGCCCAGCATTTAATAACCTCCAAATCCCACATTCAAATAGAATTTTTCAGAAACAAAATATTATTTTCTTCTTTTTCTCCACATACTCTCAAAATCTGTCCCAGAATGGATTTTGAGGGTACATGGGAAGTTCTACTTATTCCATTAACAGAACCAGCCTTTTGTTCTTCTTTAAAAAAAAATTTCTATTTAATTTAACATGACCAGGTGGCTCAGTGGCTAAGACACTTAGCTTATCAATCAGAAAGCTCAGCAGCTCGACGGTTCAAATCCCTAGTACAGGTCTCCTGCGTGAGTAGGGGGTTGGACTAGATGACCTCCAAGGTCCCTTCCAACTCTGTTACTGTTAATGATTTTCTTCTAGACGAGTACTACTCTCAAGTAGGCTAGGAGTCATGCAATATTTTCATCCTAGAAATCTTAATCATTCAGACAGTAGATCCATCTTTCTTGATTAACATTTCTATTCTCCTTTAGTGGAAGGACAATAAACAATATTTTACTTAATATTATTATCAAGCCATTTTGTTCCTTAAAAGTTGTTGCTTCAACTCTATGAAAATCAAAAGAACTACACTAATGGAACTTGATGAAAAAGCAATTAATCTGATTATTTTCATAGAGTGGATCAATAGCAATAGCCACTAGTGGAATCTGTGGCCTAGAACCAGTTATATAATCAATGGAATTAAGCAGAGGCTTAATAGCCAGCTCTGCAGAGTCTCTGGACTAGTTAGGATTTAGTAATTCTAAATGTATATGAAGTACACATGAAAGAGACTTCAATGAGATTATGTCATAAAATAATGTTTTGGGGAGAATATTGGAATCTTTTGCTACATATTGCTTATAGTTATTGTGTTAATGAGGTTTTCTTCCACACCTGTTAACAGCACATAAAGGGAAGTGTTTATCTGGTATAGCAACATTATTCAATATTTTGGAAAAGGTTAAGAGGTGAAAAATTGAACCCAAGTGTACTTCTCATCCAAGTGTATGGTTGAACATCTTTTTGTCACAATGGCATTTAATAACCTTTCCTACTTGCCAAATATTACTGTAATGATGTTCTAAAAGCATTAGTTGGAAAAATAAATGAATTCTGCATGAAATATGAAAAGTTAAGGATGAAAAGTTCTTTATTTTCTGATTATGAAAGAGGAATGAAGCTCTTAAGCTGCCAACATTGCATCTAAAACATTTTAAATTCAGGATGCAGTTTCTGAATTTTGTTCTTTTTATGGCTATTATTCAGCTTTCCCTTGCACACAGAGGTTTAACAAGCAAGTTAAATGACCCCCAAAGGTGTCTCTTATGCCACACTTTACAGCATTCTCATCAAGATAGCCAATATATATTTCCCCATTAATCAAGAACAGTTTTCCCTACTTGCTCTGTAACATTCTCACAGATTCTTATTCTTGTTAGCTAAATTGTCTCCCTTCACAGCATGCAGTTCTTTTTGTAGCAAGTCGGGAAAACATAAGCAAGCAATTAAAGGAATACAGACAATACTGTAGATAGATTATACATGGTTTAAGTGATGGCATGCTAAAATCTGTTTAGAACACCAAGGCCACTGAAATTTTAGTACAAGGGAAGATTTTTTTATAAGCTTCTTTTATTGTACAATCAAGTTTAATTATACCCACAAAAATATGTAAAATTGATCAGTTAATGGAAGACCTAATTTAATGCCAAAGAATTAAGCAGATATTTTTAGTACTATTCCTCAAATAAGACTCTCAGATAATGGCAGTCTTCATTTAACAACCGACTCATATAGTGACCATTTGCAGTACAGTGATAAAAAATAACAATTTTGCAACCAATCTTCGCATTTATGATCTTTGCAGGTCCATAAAGCAAAGGAATGCAGATATAAGAGCCTAAGCACAGTCACGTTTTCACTTAATGACAGCTTTCCTTAATAATCAAGTTGTTGGTTTCAATTGTGGCTGCTGAATCAAGGACTACCTGTACTTTGCTTGTCTTGCCTCTCACAAAATATTCAGGTATAAAGTAGTATACTCTATATACAAATCGTAGTAACAAAATAGTTGTTTCTTTAGCTTAGAAATTTTTTAAGTTTCATCCCTACAATTTGTTTTTAAAAGTAAAAAAATATGTAAAACTGAGAAATATTTTAAGATGTTTTTGAATAAGCAAGAAACAGTCATAATGTATGGAAAATTTATTAATATATAATGATTAAATTGTAATTAAGTAAATATATTACGCTTCTTGTTTTTAAAATGATGAGTTATGAACAAGAAATGTGAGGCAAAATTATGACTTTTACAAAGTCATATGTCTTAGTCTTTTTGGAGGATATTTTAAGATTTTTATTTTAAAGCTAGACAGATTATTATGTTAATGAATTATATCAGTGGTGGGTTTCTACCGGTTCGCCCCAGTTCGGGCGAACCGATAGCAGCGGCATGAGGCTCCACCCACCCGCCCGGACATCATCATGGATGCTCTGCACACACGCAGAAGGTTCTGCACATGTGCAAAAGCGCCGTGCACGAGCAAAGCAAGCGTACATGCGTGCTCATAGTCCCAAACCAGTAGCAAAGGTAAGTGAAAACCAGTACTGAATTATATTTAATAGTCAGTCAAAAATTAGGCAATTCAGAAAATGAAACTATATAAAACTATGTTAGCATCGTAACGTCAATATTAAACAACCAGATAGGACCAAAAGATCACATACAAAACTTGCATTTACTGCCTTGCTTGAATAGATTTAAGAATGTGGCTTGTAAAACACATGGGGATATTGGTTTCAATGTTTCTTACCTTATCACATCTCATCAGTCCCAAGTATCGGAGTGATTTACTAGTCTGAGCAATCTGGGTGGCTCCCTGATCTGTGATTTCTTTGCACCATCCCACATCAACTGTCTCTATTGTCATACTGTATCTTCCAATGGCTATCAGGGCTGTAAAACATAAGCCAGAACCAGAAATGAAACATAAATCAGACAAATATTTATTTTATAAATACATGCAGAAATATTATTATATCAAACATTATAAGTATCTGCTCCTGAACTTTCTGTTTGTTGTACTTTGATTAATATATAATACTTTATTTATAAGTTTATTTATAAACAAAGAACTTTACACAGTTCCTTTTCTCCTTAAAAACCATACTGTAAAATACTTATATTTGCCTTGCTGCATAATATGTAGTGGTTACATTTGGTTAAACTTCTGTTGTGAATATATGCTCTTAATTTTGCCATTATTCTCCAAGTATTAGTTTCCAGTCTGGTATCTTTGGTAAAGTTCCTCTTTTCCAATGTTATGCTAAGTTCATCCTCGCAGCTGTAAACATACGTTTTTGTAAATAATTGTGATTTTTTTTAGAGTTATTCCTAGAAAGAAGAATTTATAATATGATTTCTAATATTTTCTTAATAGGACTATCTATGTATTTCTGGTACTTTTGAGTTATTTTTCATGTCAACCATCATGTTCTTTCTATCTCACGGCATTTCCACTACTTATTATAAGATTTCACTGTCTTGGCAATTATTGACATAGTTATAACTTAGAATAAAGGTGGAGAGTTGAATCCATAAAAGTGTTTTGGCAACAAAAATCCCACATGCATTGGAATGTTGCATACAAGTATACAAGAAGTGGAGCTTTCCTCTTCATATGATATTTATATCATTTCTATGAAATCCTGACTTGTCATTGACAACCTTGGTTAATGGATTGGATTAGGACAAGGAAGATCCACACTCAGACACAGAAGTTCTAATCATTATCTCTCAGACTAACTAATTTCACAGGATTGAAGGAGAAAGTGCCATAAACAGCCTTAAGCTAGAGGAGCAAAGTTTCTCAACCTCTTTAGCTTCGATCAACTCTTGAAATAATTATGAAGTTTCAGAGGTTTCTGAAATAGAGAAAGGAGATTCCATAAATTGTCTAGCCTCTGAAGCTAAATCTGGGAATATGAATATATTTAAACATTGCTTGTTATTAGTGATGGATTACTCGGGAAATATAATTATTGAAAAAATTGAATGCTTTACTTATATTTTTAGTCACTATTTGAACACTATTTTTAATTGCACTAATACATTTTTATTTAGATTTTTTTTATTTGCTAGTATTCTAGATATTTTTTATCATGTCTGTAATATCTTTGATTGGCAAAAATGATTTGAGAGTAAATAAGTAAAAATCCAGTATAACTTACAAAGGGAGAAATATAATTATATTAGTCTTAATCAGATCGCTTCAGAAAGTTCCTCAAATCTCATCATACAAATACAATCTATAAAAATCCAATAGAATTTACTAAAAATATCAGCATTAATTTTAGGCAAATAAATTTAAGATGTAACAAGTAACTTCTTTTCTACATAACTGTTATTTATAAAATACCTTAAAATATATTCTTCCAGAGCTAGCAAAAAAACAAAAACCATTACAAATTTCCAGAAATGAATGAATGGTCTGTCTGTCTGTCTGTCTGTCTGTCTATCTATCTAGTTATTTTTTGAAGAAGATGAAACAAACCAACCATTAAAAAAAATCTGTGTGCCTTATGTGTAGTTATTCTTTTTAAGTCAATAACATGCAGAAAATCTTAAGGAAAGGCTATAAATCAGTTTAATATTATAACCTGAAGTAGCTGAAAAGAAAATGGACTGGTTTGCAGCATCAACAGTAAGTTTGCTTTTTTTGAAGGCTTCAGCAAGTGTCTTCTATGTTAATAGATACTGGCATGCTAGATAGCAAATTTCTCAACCAGTAAGGCAAGTGGTTAATTTCCATAAATAAGTTAGCCTGGAAATATTAAAAATATAAATACTTAATTTATATATATATATACATGGTCATAAAGGAAAAGTATATTGATGGCATCGGGCCTAGCTATCCATGGCATCGGGCCTAGCTATCTTTGAGACTGCCTGCTGCTACCAACGACCTCCCATCGTCCCGTGCGCTCCCACAGAGAGGGCCTCCTCAGGGTGCCATCAGCCAATCAATGCAGGCTGGTGACCCCCAGGGGGAGGGCTTTCTCTGTGGGGGCACCTACCCTCTGGAATCAGTTGCCCCCAGAGATAAGGAGAATCCAAGACCTTAGCGCCTTCCGCCGTGCCCTTAAAACCCACTTTTTCCAGCAAGCCGGGCTGGTTTAAGAAGAAATTTTAAATGTTTTAATTGGTTTGTATTTTTAATTTTGGGCCAAATTTATATATATTTTAATTGTTTTTAATATTTGTATTTCATGTTTTTTAATTCTGGCTGTACACTGCCCTGAGTCCTCAGGGAGAAGGGCGGTATATAAATTTAAAATAAAATAAAAATAAATAAATAAATAAATAACAACATAAACATCTGCATTCATACATTATACTGCACTTGTCTTTTACCCACTTTACAAGCCAAAATTGAAATGGCATAATTTGGGAGATAATCTACTAGTTCAAGAATCCCTTACAGAGGTTCTTAATTGTTAGAATTTTTAGGGTCCCCCCCCTCCCCATTAACTCAGAAGTTAACCGAGTCCATGATATCTGAAACATACAAGTAAACATTTACACCATAATTTCTTCTGTCGACTCATCAAATTGCTTTCAGATAATGACAGCTGCAACTCATATCCCAAGATAAGATGTCGCTGGCCAGCTGCACCTTAATTGCAACTACTGCAGAATAATAAAGCTCATAACATTAATTAGCACTCCTCTATATAAAGAATGGGATGAAATGTCTTGAACATAGTTGAGTGTAATCATCCCGGGAACTCTTTAAACAGTAATTAAAGTGATGGAAATGCAAATAAAAATGTACAGTCCTAAGGGTTTGAAAAAGACTACTTTCTCCTCAAGTAGTTTTCAGAACTCTTCACATTTAGCAGCATAATTTACCTTTCAAAATATTCACCAATAAGAAGCATACCAGGGGAAAATGCACAGATGCATTTCTATGTGCGCCTTTTCCTTTAAATGAAATACAATAAAACTGTTCTTTGCATATTTTATACAATAGTCTGACAAAATATAGCCAACATTATGTGAACAGAGACTGACATGTGCCACAGGATTTTCCTCCTGCCTGCATTACTAGTGTCATGCCCCAAATGCATCAATTTATTATACCGATGATAGGAATTATACTAAATTTTGTAAGCTATTCTGGAAGCCTTTTTACCTAAAGAGTAGAATAATTTGAAATAAACCAGGCTAGACAAGCAGGCATTGTTTCTCCATCTGTTACAATTTACTCAGTTAAAAATAAACAATTACAGCATGTAATTCAAATATGTACATTATGATCTACTGCAACTAGTTGCTGCATCTGTACACAGAGAGAATGAGACAAACAACCATATGTTAGGGAATGGGAAGAGCAATTTCCCAAACAAATGATCGATTTTTAACTATTAACCGTTAATACACATCAAAAATACACATCAGGAAAATGTTTGGTTTAGCAAATTCTAAAGAAATTGTTGGGAATTTAATTTTTTCTGTTGCTTATGAACTATGTACAAGTAATCTTGCCTATAAAATGTGTGTGATAAAATCATAATTCTATGTAATTTGATCTGTTCCCAACTGTTCTCTGTCAGTTTGTTTTTAAAGTACCTGTAATCTTAACATTTCAACATACCTCTGATGTGCATGGTGAATTCTTTAATGAAATTTATTGGTATTTTTTAATTGCACAACTAAGCAAGAAGAGAAAAAGTTCTTATAAAAATTTAGCAGACTCCCTATCCCCACCTCGCTGCAGGATACTATTAAGTATATACTTAATTGCAAGTAAGAACACTTGTACTTCTATTTCAAGCTGACAAGTCTTGTGCAGAGAACTTTCTTCCTATTGTTCATAGTTAAATCAGTGTCTACATATGTCAGCTACAGAATTTATATGGGGTATTTAACTAATTTATATGGGGATATTCCAATAAATGTTTAGAAATTTTGCAAGTTTTTATATTTTGCCTTTAAAATACTTCAGTTAAAGGAAAAAGCGGAATTTGGAAAAAGAGCAACTAATCTGATTAAAGGCCTGGAGACTAAAATATAAGAACGGTTGCAGAATTTGGATTTGGCTAGTCTAGAGAAAAGAAGGACTAGGGGGGACATGATAGCAGTATTCCAGTATTTGAGAGGCTGCCACAAAGAGGAGGGGGTCAATTTATTTTCCAAAGCACCAGAAGACAGGACAAGAAACAACGGATGGAAACTAATCAAGAAGAGAAGCAACCTGGAATTGTGGAGAAACTTCCTAACAGTGTGGATAATTAATCAGTGGAACAGCTTGCCTTCAGAAGTTGTGGGTGCTTCATCACTGAAGGTTTTTAAGAAGAGACTGGACAATCACTTATCTGAAATGGTATAGGGCAGTGTTGGTTAACCTTTTCGGAACCAGTGCCAAACCTGGAGCATGCATGCCGGAGTGCTGGAAGCGAGCAGCTGGCCAGAGCGCATGCGCATGACGGAACCCAGAAGAGCAGCTGGCAACGGCGCACCTGCCCACAGAGAGGGATCTGCATGCCACCTCTGGCACGTGTGCCATAGGTTTGCCATCACGGGTGTAGGGTCTCCTGCTTGAGCAGGGAGCTGGACTAGAAGACCTCCAAGATCCCTTCCAGCTCTCTTCTAATTGATTGACTAAAAACAGGCATAGAAATCTAAAATGTGCAAGATCAGAGGCTCACCCAGTTCTCTGTGATTCTTTTCATCAAGTTCGATAGGCATTCTTTTCATTAAACTCTGTGATCATTATTTTATTAGAGAAACTTTCATTTTTGAAAATAAATCTTTTATTTAATAACTTCCTTGCTTATCAACTATATAGTCACTTTTTTCTCCCAACATACAACTTGAGGTGCAACAATGTGGTTGTGGATGATGATGGCAACAGTGTAAAAATGGATGGCACATGAGACTTCTGGTTGGCACCG